GGCTGGAGGACATAGCAAGATCCTGTCTTCAAAACAAAGCAAACAAACAAAAACAAATGTGGAACAAAAATGTAATCTACATAGGCAATATAGAAAAAACTGTATCACTGGCAACTGACAGGCCAATATTAGTGGATCCTCCCCTAAGTCCATTGTTTACCTATTACATGAACTGGGAATAAGTATAGAAAGGATTTCTTGAAGTCACCAAAGTCTCTTGAGGCTTGTTGAAATACCTACTCTCTCTCTCTCTCTCTCTCTCTCTCTCTCTCTCTCTCTCTCTCTAAAGGAAAGTTAGTTGGGCCCAACTGCATGAGAGTCTTCTGTTCATCATCACAAATTCTCTGATTCAAGAGATTGCAATGGGCATGTCCAGACCAGAGAAAACAGCACACATCTGGGAGGGGGCTTGGTTGCATAACTTTACTCTCAGCACTTAGGAAGTCTGGACAGGAAAATCAAGAGATCAAAGACATTCTTCAGTGTGTAGTGAGTTGGAGGTCAGCCTGGTCTATGAGATCCTGTCCATCCAAAACCAAAAAGCATTCAATGAACCCTAAATCTGAGGACTGTAAGAGTAAGAGAAGTCATATTGGTTCTTTTAAGCCCCAAGTTTGTGGTCTTTCTTGGTGCATCTGTCATAATCTTATACAATAAAATAACATGAATTTGAAAATTTATTTAAAAGCATGTATATTTTAAAATGCAAGAGTTACCAAAATTAACAGAAGTATATAGAATGTCTAATTAGCTCTAAGTCCATTAAAGAAATGTTATTCCTGATTAAGTAAATACCTTTCCAGAAAGAGATTGTCAGGTCCAGATCATCATCCCACTTACAATCTTGATCCATGACTTAAGAAAATAAATTATAAACTTTACCAAAAATTAAACTTTAAAAATATAGAGAGAAGATAAATACATCTTCCAAATAAAAATAAAGCCAGTATTTTCCCCAGATTAAAAACAGAAAATTCTGTTTTAAAACAGATAGCCACATGGCTCACATCTGCCTGTAGCTCCAGTTCCAGAGGATCAGTGCATTTCAATGCAGGATTTAGACATGTGAAGTGGGACCCGTGTCATGCCAAGACTGGTGATATAGATCAGTGACAAAATAAAAATTCACACATTGACCCAAACAGCTAACATCAATTTATTTTGTAGATAGGTACCAAAATAGTTCAGCAGAAGAAAGACAGAAATTCAACAAACACAGCAAAAACCTAGACAGTCATGGGAAATCATTGTGAACCTAAACACTTTGCTTAAAAACACTAACTTGAGGGGGCTACAGAGATGGTTGGGTGAGGAAGAGTGCTTCCTGCTCCTCCAGAGGACCTGAGGTCAGTTCTCACACCCAAGTTGGGTGATTCGCATCCAGGGGATCTGAGCCCATCTACTGGCCCTCTGCAGACACCTCCACATACCTGGTAAACATGCTCACAGAAACACACATAAATTAAAATATCAAAAAATTAAAATACTTAATTAAACAGACATTAATATCAACTAAATATGAAGTCAAGCATAGAAAATGATAAACCAGGCTTCAAAAAATTTTTAAACTTCTTCAATGATACAGTTCAGAACATGAAGAGGCAAGATAGTGCAGGAAAACATATTTATTAAACATACATCTAACAATGGATTTTTATTGAAACTGCATAAAGAACATTAACATTGCTGTAATTAGAAGACAGATAAACCCATCCAAAAAGGAAGCAAAAATGGAAAGTCACTTGACAAAGAAAAAGACACAAGTGACCAATAAGCACAAAAAAATACACTTCTCAGTGATGAATGGGTCACAAAATAAATCAAAATGGAAACATTTTTAAACTACTGGAAATAAAGGAATACACATTACACCAAAACTTCTCAGGCATATTAAAAGGAGTCCTAAGAAGGATATTTATATCTCTAGTTAGCTGCAGGGAAAAAAAATCAGAAAAAACACAAATAAATAGCTTAGTGATATACCTCAAGTGTTTTGGAAAATGTAACACTGAGCGAAACTGCACAGAGGAACAGCACATAGCGGTAGTCAAATTAGGAGTCCTCTGTAAGCTAGCTAGCAAGCCAGTGTTCAGAGAGGGGGCTCATGACCAAAAGAACTCTCTACCCCAAGGAGAAGCAGGGCAGGGCTTATGAAGCTTAAAACCACAATTATATCATGACAGGGTAAGCCAATAATCATAGTTACATCAGATCACCATAGTTACAACAAACCAAGGGCTGGTCAGTTAACAAAGAGATATACAATTAACAAAAAGTTTCATTATGCAAAAAACAAGTTTCTCAGAATGCGGAAACCATAGGCTCCAGAGAGATGCAATTAAAGCTGAGAGGGGGTATGGGCTATCTGGACCTGCTGTCTGGACCTGCTACCTGGCTACTTGTAAGTTTCTAAGTATTGTAGAAACGCTGTACTCCCTTAAAATACCTGCATGAGATGAACTGCCTGGTTGGATGCAGTGCGATGGCTGGGCAAAAACATAGGGTAAATAAGTCAGCTAGAACAAAATGGAGTTAGTTTTGCCATTTCAGAAACAAACCCGAAACGAGTATATGGGAAGAAAAAATAGAAAGCATGGCAGAAATTAATGAAATAAAAGCAAACAAAAATTCATGAATCTAAGAGGTGTTTTTTTTCGGGGGGGCAAAAAAAGTATAACAGACCCTTAGTTGAAAAATGGAAAGAAAAAGAAAGGCCAGGATGGTGGCACATGCCTTTGATCCCAACATTCAGGAGGCAGAGGCAGGTAGATCTCTGTGAGTTTCAGACCAGCCTGGTCTACATTGTGAGTTTCTGGCCACTGGGGCTACAAGGAGACCCTGTGTTAATAAGACCAAAAAAAAAAAGAAAAAAAAGAAATAAGACACCCAAATTCATAAGTTATAAAACATCACATTGTGTGAGTGTGTGTGTGTGTGTGTGTGTATACATATTTTGAGACAAGGTCACTCAGTAGCCCCAGCTGAAATTCACTATACTCACTAATGAGACCAGCTGCTTTTGATTTCACAGAGATCCACCTACCTCTTCCCCCTGAGTGCTGGGATTAAGGGCATGCACTACCACACCCAACATAGATGATAGATAGATAGATGATAGATAGAATATATAAATATATAATAGTTTTAATGCAGTTAACCCAGACAGTGGAATAATGCAACCCCCGGGAGCTATAGGCTAACAAAAAGATATTGCAAGGCATGAGATACCTCCCTTGGGGTTATTGGTCAGGGAGCTCCAAGAGCTGCAAAACAATACAGGCTATTGACTTGCTCTTGGTTGCCCTACAAA